AGTTCAGCCTGTATGACCAGTTACCAACAAGGTAGCCAAGTAGCAGAGTGTCTGAGAGTAGGTTATGGCTTTAGGGCCAGCCCAGGAAGGGGCAGGCCTGTCCTCAGGATATATCCCTGGGCCTGTTCTTAATGACTTACTAATGCATGACCCATAAAGGTTGAGGAGTTAGGAGTCGGCACCGGGCATGACCAGGAGTCAGATGATGACCACAAAGCAGCCAGATGTTCCAAGGGACCCAGTCCCACCTTCGACAGCGATGAACTAACTGCTCTGCAGCCAATCATGATTTTGTGCTGACTTCCACTGGACTCCGTTGTCTATAATTAACCACATGGCTGTGAACCCTTTGGTCACTAGGAAGGCCCCATGCTGATGGTCTCCCTCATCCAGATGACTTGCCTTTGTTTTAGCTCTGTCCTGTTTAAAACTTAAAGGTGCCTCTATAAAACACATGAATTTGGGGTCTGTTTTACCCCTAGAACACTTGTACCAACATATTCTCAACTTGTTCTGTTTTTCCAAACCGGTGTTCTGCTGAATCAATCCGGAAGGTTGCCACAAGTTCAAAGATCTTGATGACTCAAGATTGTTCAAGAAGGCAGAGAAGGAAGTAGAGCCAGGCAAACTGAACCCTACCCTCTTCTCAAAAGTAAGGCTCACCAAGCTCATCACCGACGCATGTTGGCCTGGGCACACACAGCGTGTACTGCCTGGTACCAACATGTAAATATACCAAAAAAAAAAAACTGGATAGGAAGAATTTGGAGCAGCCTTTCAGAAGAAAATGAAAAATCCTAGTGTTTGCATATTTTATCAGTGCTCTGTAAGGTGGAGTTAGGATTACCACCTTGAAGTTCATTAGAATTGCAGAGAAGTTCTGACCACATTGGGACATATGGGTTTGCTTAAAGACACACCTTAGGAACAAGAAGAGATGTTTTGTCCCAACTTGTTTGAATTTTTTCTTGTTGCCCTGCAAAATGCCTGAAAAGAGACCTCTCTGCTTCCGGGGGCAAATCTCCTTCACGATCTGAGGTGGGAGGGCAGCAGAGACCCTTCCACCCCACATAACCTGCCCACATTTTGCTGAACGAACTGCTAACTCAGCTACAGGCCCCCAGGTATCTGTCTGCCCAATGGGAAAAACAATCCCCAACACCCAAAAGTAACTGTGAGCTGCATTAGAGTTTAAATTCTAATCACTTGGTTTTCTGAAGGCTGACGTTCACAGTGAGAACTTTTAACTCCATTTTCAGTCTTGACATATAAACAGCTTCTATTTGAGCTCTTTCTGACCTTTCACCAATATGGAAAGCTTTGCCCTCAGTCAGAGTATGTTTGAAAGTAGATTAGTGTTACCCTAATAGTCCTGGGGTGGCTTTGCGGGTTAATGCACTGGACTGCAAAATTCATTTAAACCGCAAGGTCAGTGGTTCAAGCTGCTCCTCAGAAATCCTATACAGGGTCACTACGGGTCAGAACTGACTCAACAGCACTCAACAACAACAACAAAGCCAGCCCAGGTAGGAGTTTTGGTGTAGCATTGTAGGATAAGCACTCGACCATAAAGTCGGTTTGAATTGTAAGGTCAAGCTCACCATCCACTCCTCAGAAACCGTATAAAGGGTTACTGTAAATCAAAACCAACTCTACAGTATTTAACAACAACAACCACAGCCAGCCCAGGGAGGGGCAGTCTTGAAAGTTGGGGTATCATGGCAACAGGATCCTGAAGCCCCACCATCAAGTAGCCCAGGGCCCCAGAACAAAGCCTGTAAACTTTTCTCATCTGCAGCTATATACCCAGCCTCCCAATCCTGGTCCTTCCCTGACCCCACCCCTCCACAATCCCGCCTTCGACACGGATGACTTGATCTTCTGCCCATCATGACTCATGACATTTTCCTTTGTTTTCAGCAGTCTGTTGTTGGATGCTAGGAAGTTGACCTGTGTACAACAGAGTTGTCTATAACTAACCATGAATCCTTTGTCCACCATGATGAACTCATGCTGAGGGTCTCCCTCATCCGGGGAATCTGACTTGTCTTGTCTTTGTCCTGTTTAAGGTCTAATAAAGGGGTCTCTATAAAATATTTTGAATTCAGGGTCTCTTTTCCCCTACAGCCAGGTTGGTCTCTTCTAGTGTCTTCCAACCAACAAAGACCATGACCCTAACTCTGTCCTGGAGTTCTGTGAGTGAGGCTGTGGTTCTGTCCTATCTTCAGGGGACTCATAATAGGCAGGGTTGCTAGGTTGTGGTTAGTGAGACTCAGATGTTGCTAGCACTGTAGGATAAACACTGGACTTCTAACCACATGGTAGACAGTTCAAACTCACCAGGATTTCTGTCTATGGGAAAACTGAGGTCACTGAGTAATGCAAATGACTAATGCACTCAGTGGCTTATCAAAAGGTCACGAGTTCGAGTCCACCCAGAGTCAACTTGGAAGAAAGGTCTGGCAATCTATTTTTTCTTTTTAATCAGTCACTGGAACCCTCTGAGGCTCAGTTCTGCTCTGACACACATGGTCCTGCATGAGTTGGAACTAATTCAACACCAACTAGGATGGAAAAGAACCAGGGCTGAGCTGGTCAGTCTGCAGAGAGAAAAGCCCTCCGCTCTCACGACCACCTCGGCTTCACTAGAGAGGGGGAAGCGCCAAGGGCACTGTAATCTGCCAGCCAAGCTCAGCCGTGAGAGGCGTCGGTCCCATCCACTGATCCTGTTAGTTATATTGACAGGCCCAGGGGAAGGGCCACAGGGAGACCCTACTCAGGGGTGGACCACCATGACCCCAGCCAGGAATAAGACGCCTCAGGTTTCCTACTAACTCGCCAACCACCCCTTAACCTCACCATCAATTTACAAATACAGCCAGGCCTGGCCTGGAAATGACAGGACTGTACAGACACAGAGGGTTAAGCTCTGAGCTGTGAACCACAAGGTCGGTTGTTCAAACCCAGTAGCGGCTCCTAGGGAGAAAGATGAGGCTGTCTGTTCACCTGTCCTGTGGGATCTCCGTGAGTCGGAATCCACACAATGGCAGTGGGAGTAGAAATGAAGGAGGCCTGGTGGCGCAGTGGTGAGGCACTCAGTTGCTAATTGAAAGGTCGGCAGTTCAAACACACTCAGCAGCTCTTCAGGAGAAAGCCCTGGTGATCTGCTCTTGTAAAAATAACAGCCTCGGAAACCCCTTGCCACAGTTCTACGCTGTCTCACGAGATTGCTGTGAGTTGGAGTTGAGTTGGTAGCACCCAACGACACAGGAAATACACTGAGGTAGTCCAAGGTGGCTTTTCTGGTGAGGAGAGGAGAGGTTAAGCATCCTTCCGCACTCACAGTGAGAAAACAATCCATTTCTCCTAACTGAGTTTACGCTTCAAGCCCCAAAGTGTGGCCATGTGTGAAGGTCCAACAAAGACCATCAAGTGATAGCAAACCCGCTCAGAAACTCTGCTTCTTTCTCCTCATGTCACTAAACTGCAGAACCCAAAGCCACTGGGACAGACATGAAGGCTGTGTTGTTGTTACTAAGTGTCAGAATCACAGCAACCTGAATAGGGTTTCCAAGGACCCTCTGGTAGGTTTGAATCACCAACCTTGTGGTTAACAGTCTAGTGCTTATCCTACAGTGTCACACGAGGACTTTGAAGATCGCTTTAAGGGGTCTTAGCTCAAAACTTTAAGCAGACGTTTCTACACAGTCCCAACTTGTCCAGGTCTGGATTCCAGTTTTGTTTATTCATTGACGGTAAGGTTAACAGAAATACACATCCCAGGAAGGAAATTTTCATCTGTCTCCCTCTCTGTGTCTCTCTCCCCCGTCTCTCTGTGGCTCTTTCTATCTCTGTCTCTCATCTATCTGTCTGTCTCCACATCTTTCTCTGTCTTTCTCTCTCATTCTTCATGTGAGTATATGTTGTTGTTAAGGGCTGGCAAGTCAGTTCTGACTCATAGCGACCCTACATAGGGTTTCCAAGGGGTGATGGTGGGTTTGAACTACTGACCTTTCAGTTAGCAGTTCAGGGCTTATCCTACAGCGCCATACCAGGACTCTGAGTATATAAGACATATGAAAATGCTTAAGAAATTATACATTACTATAGAAAGAGTCCTGGTGTGGTGCTATGGGTTAATGCACTGGACTGCAAAGTCGGTGGTTCAAGCTCACCCACCAGTCACTACACAGAAACTCTACACAGGGTTGCTATGGATTAAAACTGACTGGATTGAAACTTAACAACAACAACAACAAAAAGAGGAGCCCTGGTGTGGCGCTGGAGGATAAGCACTGGCTTGCTAACTTCAAGTTGGCGGTTCAAACGCACCAGCTGCTTCTTGGAAACCCCATGCAGGGTTGCTGTGCACTTAACAACAATGGACACTTCAGTGATGATGAGGGTGGGAGGTAAGCCTGTGCGTGCTGGCCTGGCTTTACTAACAGATTCCTCCACACCAGTGAAAGGAAGAAAGACCAGGACGAAGCTGGGACGGCCACAGAAACACACACACCAGTATGTTCAGAGGAAGAGAAGCCAATACTGGCCAGGCCTTCACACTCACACACACACTCACACACAGTCAGAGACTCACATCCTGTCACACACACATCACTCTCTCACACACTCACACACACTGCAGAGACTCACACCCTGTCACACACACACTCACACACACTGCAGAGACTCACACCCTGTCACACACACACTCACTGATTCACACTCACACACACTGCAGAGACTCACACCCTGTCACACACACACTCACACACACTGCAGAGACTCACACCCTGTCACACACACATCACTCTCTCACACACTCACACACACTCACAGACACTGCAGAGACTCACACCCTCTGACACACACACACATTCTCTCACACAGTCACACACACACACACTCACATCCCTCACCCACCCACCTACACTCAGACCTGCTAAGCCTGACTTTCCAGCAACCGTCAGATCCAATCTACCCCTAGTGAGGGTCCTTACCGTTCTGGACCACGCTGATGAGGGTGACGATGGCTAGCAGGACAATGTTCCCCAGGGTGTCTTGATCCATGCTGGCTCTGGCTCCTGGAGAGAACTACCCCACTACTTAGTAGCCTGGCCCAGCTGTGCAGAAAGCAGAAGTCGGGACCTGGGCGCTGGTTTTCATCATGCAAACTTCCGATGGTCCCAGAACAATTACACAGTGTTTTCTTTGAAACAGCCACCTCTACTTCCTCACTGTGGTTCAGAGTGACCTGCCTGGAGAGCGAGGCTTGTGTGTGGCACAGATGGAGTTGCTGTTGCTTCTGCCTGCCTTGTCATGAGAGTCCCCCTCCAGACCCCCAGAACAAGCCCTGCCCAGCCAGAGTCCCCACAGAATCCAGGGGGAACTGGAAGCCTACCATCTTTGACATCAACAGAGAAAAAGAGGGGAAAGGAAAAATGAAGCTTTAAAACAGTTATGGAAGCATAGATGAACCTGGAGGACATTATGCTGAGTGAAATTAGTCATTCACAAAAAGACAAATAATGTGTGAGATCAGTGATGTAAAAAGTTAAGAAAAGGTTTGCTTGCTAAAAGAAATATTCTATGATGGTTACCAGGGGTGAGAGGGAAGGGAGAATTATTCACAGGGTTGAGGGTAGACACATGTTAACTTGGTGATGTTGTTGTTGTTGTTGTTAAGTGCTGTCGAGTTGGTTCCCACTCACAGTGACCTTGTATGGGGTTTCTGAAGCGCCGCTGGAAAGTTTGAACTGCCAACTTTGTGGTTTACAGTCCAGTGCTGATCCTACAATGCCATACCAGGAGTCCACTTGGGTGATGGGGCAGGCACTGTACAACAAGAGGGAGGCTATCACAGGAAAGGTGACGACAGTGGATGACACAGGGAAGAATGCAAGAGTTCAAGTGAATAGAGGCCAATACTGGGAACTGAGGGTACACGAAAGGGATTACAATCATGGCAACGACACGAAGTGTATGATTTGTTGGATATAGAGCTGATGATCTCATCTGTAAACCTTCATTCAATTCACAATTTAAATTTTAAAACATTTTTTTTAACTTTGTGGGACACCAAAAAATACTCCTTCTTCCCTTGTCTCTCAGGGTGGGGGAACACTTAGCACGCAGAGAGGCCCAGAGCATCAGTTGTTCATCAAATCAACTCCAGCTTATATGTCTCAGAAAAGAATTCATAGCAACCATATAGGACCCCCTTCCCCACTCCCCAGCATTACCAGAGTTCCTTCCAAGTGTGCGCAGGACATAAGAACTACCTTAGGGAGGTGTGGCTTACTAGGATGCTCTCCCAACTTTCTGATCATGCTCACCTACCTTTGTATCTAAAGTTCAATGAGTGAAATCTAAAGATGCGAGTGTAACAAGGATCCCAGGTTCCAAGGGCACCAGTGTTTGAGCCAGAAAAGCCCCTTCTCTGAACGGGACTGCATACGTCCTAAGGCGGAGGGGACAAGACATATGCGAACGAACAGCACAAGTACTGATTGTTTAAATGCAGCCTTGCCCTGGACTCTACCCCATGCTCACCCCAACTGGGCAAGGAACATCTTCTCACTTGAAAAGAGAATGTTGGTCACTAGGATCGGAGACTCCATCACCGCAGAGAGACCAGGGTGGAGCAGAGTCGTGTTCTCACCTGTAGACCAGCAGAACTCAGTTTCATTCCATTTAGACAGAAAGCAGTCAATGGAGGTAGCATGGTGGAGCCTGGGAAAATGGCAGCTACTTCAAGGGCAATCTAGGCTTGTTTATGACCACTCCCACACACACTCTTTATAAAGTAGCTCTTGGACCCAATTCGTAAGGGGCTCTGCACTAGCAAGATATGTGCATCAGCCTTCATTTGATCGTGTTTGTCCTTGCAGGTTGATAAGTCTCAAGGACACTTAGGTCATAGTAACTAAGGAGTTTGAATGCCATCGAGCCAGCCTTTCTAAAGCTCATGGGATCTTAGTGATAATGATGCATTAGAAGGAAGGGCTTAAAACATAGTGCAGTTGAAACAATAGAAACTTAGCTCAAACTTGCTTAGGCAAACAGGAAAAAGTACCAGCTCAAAGGATCCTAACAACTGATCATTCAACATTGAAAAGAGCAGAGATGTGGCTAGGCCTCTGAGCAGTTCACATGTAGTCTTCTTCTATTCTCTCTTCTTCCTTTTCTTCGTCTCTTCCACCTCCTTCCTTCCTCTCCTCTGTCTCTCCCTCTCCAGAGTCTCATGGCTTCTCAGCCTTATTCTCTCTGTGGACTAGACGAATATGACCACCTCTGATACCTTTACTTCACACAGCATCTGCCACCTGCAAGGGGCTTACTTCTATCATCTAAAGCCTCTGTGGCCCAGATTGGCCAACCATCTATTCTTGGGTACACCAACCAGATGGCAGCTACATGGAAGAGCCTGGTGATTCCCATAACAGTGATATGGTTGAGGGAGACAGTTCCTTAAGGAAAACCTGAAAGGATCTATGTACACCCATAGTTATTGCAGCACTGTTTGCAATAGTAAAAAGATGGAAACAACCGAAATGGCCACGAATGGAAGACTGAATAAACAAACTATGAGACATACACACTGTAGAATACTAGGCAACGTGAAAGGATAAGGATGAATCTGCAAAGCACCTTGAACATGGATAAACCTGGAGGACATTATACTTATACTGAGAGAAATACAAACTACAACTACAAAAGGACAAATATTATATCATTTATCATTGTTGTTGTTGTTAAGTGTTAAGTTCCGACTCATAGCAAACCTGTATAGGGTTTCCAAGGAGCAGCTAGCTGGTGAGTTTGAACCACCGACCTTGTGGTTCAAACTGACCTTTACATATTAACTTAGATGACAGGAAAGGCAATGAAAAAAAAAATTTTTTTTTTAACTGAACAAAAGAGGAAATTTTAGGGGAGGAATTATTAGTGCTTTAACTGTCTGTTATGTATAGTCTCAGATTAAAGTTTGCACTATTATGGAAGCTTCTTAGCTCCACAAGAAACACTGGTGGCGCTGTGAGCTACGCATTGGGCTGCTAACCACAAGGTCGATGGTTCGAACCCATCAGCTGCTCTTCAGGAGAAAGAAGAGTCCGTCTGCTCTGGTAAAAACTGACAGTCTCAGAAACCCACACAAGGTTGTTCCCAGAGAGAACAAATCCACTCGAAAGCAGTAGATTTGGGTTTGGTTTTCTCTGTCCTACAGACTGATGTCTTTATGGTTCCGCTTCGTCTCCATCCAGCTTTGAATGTCTACATTTACAGTGTCTGAGTGTGAGCAACCACGAGCTGCAGGAACACAGTGTCTGAGTGTGAGCACCCATGAGCTGCAGGAACACAGGGTGTCAGTGTGAGCAACCACGAGCTGCAGGAACACAGTGTCTGAGTGTGAGCACCCATGAGCTGCAGGAACACAGGGTGTCAGTGTGAGCACCCATGAGCTGCAGGAACACAGGGTGTCAGTGTGAACACACACGAGCTGAAGGAATGGTGTCTCAGTGTGAACCCCCAGGAGCTGCAGAAACACAATGTCTGAGTGTGAACACCCACGAGCTTGCAAGAACACAGAAAACGTCACCAACAGAATCCCAACCACAAGTCCACCATTGTAAAATGTTCTAGTTCCATAGAACACGAGGAACTAGGGAACATCCGCCTGTCTCCCTTGCCTCCCAACTCCATCAACTCCACAAATAAGGGACAATATGTCCTCCAGTTCCACTTTACAGGGCTGAGAAGGCACCTGCTAGAAGGTTCCATAGCAGGCGCCTCCACGATGGGATCCCCACAACTGACCTCCCTGGAGTAGTTGCCCCCGCCAGATTGGAAAGCAATTCCAGTGCAAGCCCACTTCCCTGGGAGGCGTGTGTTAATAGGAGGCGGAGCTGGCCATTAAATTACAACGGCGCACATTAAGATTCTGGCTGCGGCTGCAGATAAGCACTTATCTGAGGTGACGGTCTCTAGAAATGCCATTCATCACAGTAGAAAGCTGCTGAGACAGAACAAAAAGACATGGGGGGTGGGGAGCGGCGGGGGGGCTGCTTTGCAGCAGATGCTCCAACAAGACAGAACCCCATGTTGCAGCCAGACGCCCAGGACCCAGCAAGCACTTCCTGAGCACGTAGCTAGTGGCGGGCACTAGGCTGAGAGCTAGGCATGTGCTTTTCCACACAACCCTCTGGGTGGCACAGTGGTTAGGTGCTTGGCTGCCAACCAGAAGGTCAGAGGTTCGAACTTAGCTGCAACTCCTCTGGAGAAAGATGAGGCAGTTTGCTCCTGTGAAGACAGACAGTTGTGGAAACCCTATGGGGCTGTTCTGCTCTCCCACAGGGTCGCTAGGAGTTGGAATACACTTGACAACATTGTTTTTCTGGGTGGTTGGTTTAATCTTTACAGAGTAGATGACCCAGGTTTCTTCCCCACCCACCACTGGGTCAAGTGGGAAAGTCAGCCAACCCTTGAGTTCGCAGTTGAATGCTTAACCATGGCACCTATAAACCCACTGCCACCGAGTCAAATTCCAACTCACAGCGACTCTACAGGACAGAGTAGAATTGCCCCAAAAGTTCTATGGCTGCAAATCTCTAATGGGAGCAGACTGCCCCATCTTTCTCCTGCAGAGAGGCTGGTGGGTTTGAACTGCCAACTTCCCACCATTGCACCACCTTGGCTCCTTAATCCCTTCAGAGGCTAGAATGATCCTTCATCCCCTGAAGAGTGATTTTTTTTTTTTTTCCCAAAAGAAAAGGAAGGCAAATGTACACATGTAACAGGAAATGGTGTGTTCCTGAAACAGCTGACTGTTAGTAAAGGTGATTGAACAAGGAACCTCCCATAGCTACAAGACTCTGACCCCGGGCTTCTCCTCCTCCCTGGCCCTCGCTGCTTTGCATATGCTGCCCTCCTCTGAATGTGCGGGGTTAGTTAGATGACTGCTCTGGGAGTGGGGAAGAATAATGAGCCCCTTCATTAATTAGAGTACTGCTAGCTCTTTGACTGTGAAGGACAAGCATTTCTCAACAGGGATCAGGACATCTGGGGCCAAGC